CCGCTGCGAGGCCCAGCTCTTCCTCGCCTGCGGCCGCGGCAGCCGGGCAGATAGCCCTGCTCACGGGGTGACCGGCAAGCCGCTTTCCTCCATCTCCCCTCAGTAGCAAGGTGCCCTGCTCCGAAGGGAGAGGCAGAGGTCTGGGGTCTGGGTCCAGCTTTGCTGCCCTGCTGGTCCCTTCCCCTTGCTCTGCCTGCTCCTGCCTGTTTGCAAAACGAAGTCAGCTTTGGCTGGTAACCACAGGGACAGGGAGGGAAGAGTAAATCAGTGGTGGGATGTGCTTTGAGGCTGGATGAGCGGGAGGAGAAACCACCTCATCTTTGGCTGGGGTGGTGACGGACAAGGTTTCTTCCTGTTATCTGCTGCAATTCTCCTTTTAAGCTGGTATTGTTTCTGTGTGTTGCTAGAAGGAGGCATTTGATGGAAACAGCAAAAGCTGGTTGGGAATGGCCTAAGTCTGTTGTTATGAGCACTGATGGCTCAGTGATGCTAGGAGCAGCTTGCAGCTCTCAGGGTCCGTAGCAGAGCCAAGGGAGTCGACAGCTTGGTCCGTGCAACGCAGCACTGAACCATAGCTGCCCTTTGGCACCTCCTCCCTCCCTCCTTCTTCCGAGCTCTTCCCTGGCTCAGAGTTTTGTTCCTTAAGTCAGCATCAGCCTTCAGCCGGGCTGTGGGGCTGTTAATTTAGCTGGAATAATCCAGCTGGACCAGAACCTGCCAAGAAGGCTGATGACACTTGACAGATGTGATTTGGCCAAGGCAGATGAAATTATTGGGAAGCTCCAGGCAAGCAGGGACAGGATAGGGGTGTAGGCAGGCCTGGGAATGGGTTGGGACGCCTTGCTGAGAGCGCTGGCTGCTGTCAGCTGGAGGCCTGACAGAAGAAGGTTCAAGAGTCCAGTGCTGTCTCTGGAGTTAACTCTTCTTCAGGGTTTTCTATCTGCTCTGCAGCTTCCCAGGGCAGGGCAACACAGATAGGCCCCAGCAGGGCTTTGGGGGGTACCCCATAGCTCCCTCCCTCCTATCCTTTTTATATTCTGCAAGCAGTGCCAAAACGCACAGTTTCAGAAACTGTTTCTTTTTGTTTCCTTTAAGTTGTCCGGGCCCTTACTAAGCTCCTTTCTGCACTTTACTGTCCCCTGGGACTGTGCCTGCCCTGCCTAGATGGAGGAGCCCTGGGCTCAGCAGGGAAATGGGTGTCTGGAGAAGACCCCAGTGTCTTGGCATGACTGCATATCAGGAGTTGCTTGCGCTGGCTCTCCAGCAGACTCAAACAGCCCAGACTTACCCAAAAGATGCCAGCTCCTATGGCCCCAGCACAGGGGAGCTTTAAGCGAGGCAAAAGACTGTGACTTTCCCTTCTGCCTGGCTCATAGCTAACCTGCACCCCAAGGAGCTTGGGTGGTGCAGGGCTGCGCAGGCACCCCTCCCTGCTCCCAGCCTCTCTCTGTCCCATGTTCTGGATGATTTGTTCCAGCCTCATTCCCAGCTTCTCCTCCCAGATGCAGAGATTCATCAGTCCTAAGCTTCCACAGCCAGGAAAGCTGGATGGGGGGAAGGATTTGGGCACAGGCATCCCTTTCCAGTAGCCCATATGGCAGCAATCCCACGCCTGCCAAGCTGTGCTGATCCCCTCTGAGCTCTCCTGAGTTCAAACCTCTGCTTGAGCCGGCAGGATTTCCTGCCTCAGGCTGCTAGCACCAAACTCTCTCATTCCCCCTCCTGGACAGAGCGTGGTGCCCTTGGCTGACAGTGAGGTGTGAACATGAAAGCGGAGGGGCCGAGACGAGAGACGTACGGTTTATGCAGGATATCCGCGGCTCCTCCCACTGCCCATTGGGCTGGCACCGAATCGTGGGCACGTGGCGCTGGATGTAGCCGTGGTTACACTGGTACCGCACCATGGAGTTTATTTCATAGCGGTCCTTCTTCCTGCCGAAGGTCCTGGCGTTCTCCACCATGGGAGGGTCCCCACAGGCAACTGTGGGAGACAGGCAAAGCCATGAAGAGCTTAGAGGCTCCTGCTTGCCTGAGCAGGCAGCTGCCCAGGGCAACAGCACAGCCCGCGCAGCTCCCGTCTGACCCTGCTGCTGCAGGGCAGATGGGGCGCATGGACATCCTCACTCACTCATCTTTCTCCTGCACTCTGTGTCCCGCAGGATCTCAAAGTGCTGGAGAGAGAGAACATGCAACGGCTGCTGTGTCTGCCCTTGAAATGCAGCCACTTTTGGGGTGGAAGGAGGCAGCCACGTACAGTCATCTTTGCCCATCCCTGAGATGCAGTGGGAGTGATACTCCCTTGCCAATAATAACTCTCTGAACTAGAAGGTTTCCAGGTCTCATTTGGGCAGGTACCCTCACCCGAGCTGCTGGACTTTTTTTGCCACATCCATCAGTCAGGCCAGGGGCCACAGAAGCAGCTGAAAACGGAGGCATCGTTTCTTTTGGTGCAGGCAATAAAAAATAGACCGTGATTAAAAGTTTAAATCGCCTCCCCACAGCAAAATCTGCTGAGTTTGCCTCTGTCTTCAAAATTTAGGGACAGGGGGAGGGATTTTGAAATTCTGAGATAGGCCTCGAAGCTGAACAACAAGATGCCTCAGGCTCCCTCTCTGCCTTCCACAGAAGCAGGTTCACAGCAAGAGCTGGGTGTTGGGGCCTGGGCATCAGAGCAGCCGCGCACCACCCTGGGAGGGCAGGGAGCCGGTGCGCAGGGGCAATTCCACTCTTGGCATGGAGAAATTGGGCTTTATCTCAGGGCTCCTGGCTCACTCTGGAAGAAAAAAAAATGAAAATTGCTCTCTGTAGGACTGGAAAGGGTGTAGATGTGGGAGCTGATGACAGGAGAAATTTGTTTGCTCCCTTAGGTGGGGCTGTGAAGAGAGAGAGCAGATTTTGGTGGGATAGGGAAAGAAGGAGAGAAATTGCTGTTTCACAGCATGGAAACAAGAGCATTGCCAATTTGCACGTCTGCCACAGTATTCCCCTGCCTCCGCATTCAGGCCACGCTGGGATGCAGGCAGCATGTGCACGGAGAAGGCAGGCAGCGGTGGAGGAGCTCCCCTTAGCCGGGGCTGCGGGTAGCTGCGGGGAGGGTGGTGTCAAAGGGATGGCCACAGCTCTGGCTGTGACTGTGAGCACCAGCCACGTGACATGGCGTGAGGGGAGTGGGAGGAAGGCCACACTGGTGCATTTGCCTTGCTCTTGATCACTGAGGACACGACACCCTGGTCGTGGTGACTTGTGTTACTTATTTTCAAGACCGTAGAGAACATTCTCCCAGAGCCTGAGCCAAATTCTAACACTAATTCCACATCCTTAAATGCCCTTTGCAGTGACAAATCCACGTTGCATTCATCTTTGTTCCTTGTGTTAATTTTCTTGTGCAGAAATTAAACTTCCAGCGAGGACAGCTGAGGGATAAGGGAGATTTGCGGGGCCCTGCTGGGGTCACAGTACAGGCTAACATGCAAAACACCTCCGCGCAGGCTGTAAAGCCCCGCTGCATTCTGAGACTTGCCACCAGCAAGCTCCTGCTTAAGTGCACTGAACATTTCTGCAAAGAGCACAAAGGCTTCTGAAGACAACAGCTCCCTGCTCGCCCACTCCAGCCCTATAGTCATCGTCTCAGACTAGATTGGCTCCTCCTGTCTTTGCTGGTACATGGGGGAGGGCTCACCTGTTCCCTTCTTGCATGTGAAAGGGAGATGATAGTTGCATGGGACATCGTTCCATTCGCCTTGCTCATGCCAGATCATCACAACGCAGTCCTCACCCGCAGCAAAGAAGTTATCGGGTTGATTGGGCCGCCAGTTCTCAAATTGCTGTCAAGAGAGAAAAGCCCTTCCCATAAGACTGAGTCCTTCCTTCTCTCCCTGTTTCTCCCTTTTTCCCTCCTCTGTGTCTCCTCCTGCCTCTCTTGTCCCTCTCACCAGCAGAGACCGTGGATTAACAGCAGCGCTACTACGGTTGTTATTTATATTGCGATGATGCCTGGTAGCTTAGCCATAGGTCAGGCCCTATTTTACTAGAGGCTGGAAAAACTGGGAAAAATCAAGAGCCCTTGCTCCAGAGAGTTTAAGGGTGGCTCCACTCAACATCTGATCCAAACTCTCAATACAAAACGTGTGCGGCTTAGTCCCCCAACAGCAGCCTCTTCCCTTGCACACAAAACTAATGCCTGCCTGCACAGAGAGATCTCCCCTCCTTTCCATTCCCCCAGGTTCAGCATCCCAGGCCCTTCCCCACTGACTCACCAAGGAGTGCCCGTCAGACCAGCGGAAGTCGTTCTCAACGGTTCTGTCACTGAGGCCGATCCACTGGTAATCCTGCGCGTGGTCTAGAAAAGCCGGACAAGGAGAGAAGAGTAAGAACGAGCAGGCTCACCCTGTTGTGGTTCCCACCCTTGTGGTGAAGGTTTCTCTTTCTCACATCAGCTGCTTCAGGCCCTGGAGCCTCCCCCAGGATACCTTGGGGTCATTTTGCTCCTTCCCAGTCACTAGTCCCTGCTGTCCACCTTTTTTCCCTGTATTGTGCTTGCTCACCTCTCTCCCTACTAACCTTGGCATGAACACAAGATCTTTCATGCCATCTACACTGCCGTGGGTCACTGGGCTTATTGTACCAAGTGAACATTTTGTGAACCACACTGGCAATGTGATAGGAGCACAGACCTGTCCTAGCTGTGAACAGGCCCTCTCCTGTCCCATAGCCTGATAGTTCTTCCTCTCTCACACAAGGGTAAGGCCTCATTTGACAAGAAACATTTGAAAGTCAGTGGGAGAAATGGTGTTTTTTTAGCCCTTTTTCAACAAGCTTGCCCATAGACTTGCAGTCTGATTGACCCCTGCCCATCCTCAGATCTTCAAGGCTGCCCTCAACACTCACTGTTGACAAAGTCTTGTTCTTCTGGGGTGATGATGCTGCTCAGGTGGGCTTGATGTTCTCGGCATCTAGTCTCTGCATCCACCCAAGTCTCCCTCTCTTCAAAGTGCCTGTAACAGTGGCCCTGGAACTTGGTCCAACCTTCCTCACAGTTTTCCAGGTCTGAAACACACAAAGGAGGCATGAAAAGGAGTCGGCTGCATGTGGCTAGAAGCCTTTCAACTCACCTCTTAGCAGCTCATGCACTCATGGCACAGAAGGATGACACACGGTCACATCCACTAAAAAACAAACCCTGATATTGTCTGTTACATCCCAGGGAAAATGATCAGAAGGCATCCAAGAAACATTCAGAGGGAGGAGACTGCTTTGAAGACTATGTGTTTATAGTAAGGTCATCAACACTATTGGAAAACTTGAGTGAGACAGATTCCTGAGCAATTCAAACCCCCAGTGGTTTTCCAGGACTCCGTTTCTGAGAAACTGACCCAAGCAACAACCCCTCTCTTCTAACTTTGCTGTCTTTCAGGATTTTCTTGCTCTGGAAAGCAATTCTGAAACCTGAATTCAGATGCCCAGAAATGACACTCATGCTTTGCAAAACAAAGAGGGGAAGGAGAGGCTAGAGTTCAGCTGGTTACATTGCTTAGTGTGATTCTGAGGCTTCTGGAAGGCAAAATAGACCCAGTGAGAAAAGAGAAAAGAGATAGAGGGCAAGAACTTACCATGGGGGAGACAGAAAAAGAAATCTCAAGAAAAAACCTTAGAAACCACTAGAAAAGTTTGAAAATATTTCAAATTTTAAAAACATTTTTACTACCTGAAAAATGCTGAAGATTTGAACCCATTAATTAAAAAAATGAAACCATGGATGGGGTAGAGCAGAGTCATATGCAGAAGCCATCAAAAAAGGCCTTCAGCAACTCCCACATTACATGACACCATGCACATCTGCTTCATGTGCCGGAAGGAAATAGAGGCAGCTACACAAATGGCACTACAGTGGCACATGTGATGGGACTTGTTATTTGGGCAGGATCAGCCACTTGTTAGAGCTATCGTACCTTTAGGGCCTTGAATTAGCTCTCCCACATCAGCTTTTTCAGCACCTGTACTCACAGGGGCTCAGGCACAAAGTCACAGGGACAAGCTTTTCCTCTGCAGTCCATGAGCAGGGAACAGAGAGAAAAACACTAAAACCCTGGCCAGGAAGAGAGATCCAGTACAGGTGAAAACAGAAATCTAGGACAACAGACGTGTTTAAGCTTAAGCCTTTCAAAGGCACAATTTACCACCTTTTTTCAGCCACTTGCTGCTTTTGGAGTGGTAGGATTTCATTAGTTGTAATGCCTCTCTCACTTTCCAGTAACATTTTCTGTACTCCATTTCTTTCTTCTGCTGTTAAAACTTAGTAGGTCACCTTCAGCCACATAAATTCCCCCTAATCCACCTGTGTGGTATTATTCCAGCTAGAGACTGCTGACACCTCATAGATATTGGAGGGGCAGGTAGTTAGGTGAGGCTTTTAAACCTTTTTTCTGTCTTCTTATTCACATCAAATGGGTTATCCTGAAGCAGCTGAAGCTCTAAGGTCTCCTGTTCCTCTTTGCAAGCAGACCACTTACACAAGGTAAGCAGACACCTGCTGTTCCTGCTGTTTGAACACTGCCCCTTGTAGTCA